CAGTTGGTTAAGTGTCCGACTTCAGCTCGGGTCATGATCTCATGGTTCGCGAGTTTGAGCCCCACATTGGGCTTCCTGTTGTCAGTTCAGAAGCCTGCTTTAGATTCTCTGACTTCCTGTCTTCCCCTCCGTAGCTTGTGTTCTCTCTCTCCATCTCCTTCTCTCAAAAAAAAAAAAAAAAAAAGAAAAGAAAAACAAAACCAAAAAAACGACAAAAAATAAAATCTTAAAAAAATGCTTTGTTGGGGATTTGGTTATGCCAGGTCATGTCTTTTCCTGGTTGGATGGTTTCCTTAGAAAGCTTTCTGATCCTCAGGTTATTAGTTTACAGTGCGCTTACCTCCTTTTCTAAGTTCATTCAAAGGGCCCATCTATCTTGTCAAGAACAAAGACCAAGTTGTCTTTTTTTTTTTAAGTTTATTTATTTATTTTGAGAGAGAGAGAGCGAGCGTGGGAGAGAGAGAGAGTCCCAAGCAGCCTCCATCCACACTGTCAGCACAGAGCCTATGCGGACTCGAACTCAGGAACCGTGAGATCACAGCCCTAGCCAAAACCAAGAGTTCGGTGCCTCACCGACTCAACCACCCAGGTGCCCCAAGACCAAGGCCTCTTAAATGCCTACAGGAAGTGAACTTTTGGGGCTTCCCAAGGGCAGAAATCAAAGGGAGGCAGCTGCAAAGGACAGGCCGGCACAGCAGTCTGCTTGCAACAGCAGTGGGCCGCGGGCACAATGATGGATTATTAGGTAACAAGCTGGACACAACAGAGCATTTGAAGGAATGGGAGAGGGTGCTCAATGGGGCCATGAATAACGGAAGAGGTTTTTCCCTTTCCATATTAACACCCTACAGCTGCTTAGAGCCTCAGTGCTCCAAGTGCCTTTGCATAAATTGCTGTGGCTGACGGGTTCACTGCTCATCAACAACCCTTCAGTCCATCTCTGGATCTTGTTCTAGTGGGAACGGCCCCGCCCCAGGCGATGACCCATGATCAGTGCAGGTCTCGCCGTGGTTCTCAATGTTGGCTGCACAGCACAATCACCGGGGAGCTTGTAAAACACCCCCGTGCCTGGACCCCACCCCAGACCAATGAAATCAGAATCGTTGGGAGTGGAGTTCTGGTACCGACATTTGAAAAACAAACAAACAAACAAACAAACAAAGAAATAAACAAAGCTCCTCAGGTGAATGTCACGTTCAGCCAGGGCTGAGAACCCCGGGTCTGAGCCAATCACCAGCGGCCCCACCCCCCCACCCCCCACCCCACCCCCCGCTTTTCCCAATTATCACCAAGTGCTAGCCAGTGAGAAGTAAAAGGAAGTGGGCTGGGGTGGGGGTGGGGGATGTTCTGGGAAGGTTTTAGAACTGGATCGAAGGAGAGACAGGCGAGGGAACACTCCTCCACCCCTTCCTTACCCGCTAACCAGCTTCCTTCCTTCCTGCGTTTTAACAGCGCTGCTGCGTACTTATCTGAGGAAGCGATGCTCGTGGCCGAGGCAATGATCTTGTAGCCTTATCCTTGGGAGGATAAGCTGGTGAGTGAAAGCCGAGAAGGTGGAAAAGACAGAAGGGCCTTTGGTGTCTTGGGTTGACGGTGCTCTGGTCCCCACCCAGCCCTGGCAAAAAGTGCACTCCCTCGCTCCCTGCCAGAATCTGGCTGTCCGGGATGGACCATCTAGAAGTTACCGGGGTGAACTGATGTGTAGCCCCCACCCTCTTCACTGCTGAGCTAGGGGTGTCACCAGCTCGACCCCAAGGCCTGACCTCTACTGCCACCTGCATGTGCTCACTGGCCTTTGTCCCACATTTTTCCTTAAGCTCTTCCTTCCAGCTTCTTCTCTCTTAGGCACAAGGAAGCCAAAACCACCCCTCTAACAATAGCGACTGCCCAGAAAGCTCTCCATCTGGGCCAGTCCACCCGGACCAGTTTGAGCGTAAGCCCTCCCCACTCACACCTGTGGACCCTGGCGTGACCGCTAGAATGACCTCCAACTACCAACTACCTGTACGTCGTCCTAATACTAACGCCTCCTCCCAAGGAGGAGCGCAAGCCTCATTTACATAACATACAATGCACGGACAGGCAGGTTTCCTTAAAGCGCATGTGCGCACGGTTCCACCCCCGCCCCCACCCTAGAGATGATGCTAAGGCTCCCCCTATCTAAATATTCGTCCTGACCCTAAATAAAAGGAACCCCTTCACCCTGCCTTGGGGAGTCATGGCTTTGGAAGTTATTCCCACGGGCTCCTTATTCGATGCAAATAAAGTTTCCTTTGTGCAGCAACTCCACCCGGCGTGTCTGGGACTCGGCAAGGAGCAAACTCCCGTCGGTTCTTGGTTGAGTCACAGGGCACGCTATGAGGTCCCATGTGAAGGACAGCCAGGGGGAAGGTGGCTGAATAGGTGCTGTGGGCAGCTCAGGGACATTTTATGGATTTGGCCGGTGGCTGGAACTCACTAACAATAGAGCTAAATGCTTTCCCACCCCAGCCTAGCCTCTTAGCCTGGTCGGGGTGCCTAAGGGACCCAGGGGACGCTAAGGGACCCAGGTAAGAAGAGGTTCTGAGCTCTGGGGTCCAACACTAATGCCGGTGCTCCACCCTCGCCAGCCTTGCTGTGCTTTGGGCAGGTTACCTGACTTCTCTGAGTCCCGGATTCGTCATCTGTACAACTGATAACAGACCAAAGCAATGACACGTGTACAATGCCTCAGCTCGATGCATGGCATGTGACGATCCGTCCCCTTCCCTAAAGTAGGGTGTGATGGTTTTTTGGAAAGTCCTGGTCAGCAATGTTATCTTTCTAGGAACCAGGAATACATGCATTTTCATAAATCCACTGCTTGGGGGTGACACGGGGGTGGCCGATAATTCCAGCAGAAGGGTGGGGGAAAGGGCTCAGTCACTAAAGTACAGAAGAGCCTAAAGCTAGCCCCCAGAGGTCCCTGCAGGCTTGCAAAGGAAGCTTCACTGGCCTTCCAAACAGCAGCACCAAACAGTCTTGCTCCACAGTTACTGGTACCAACACGGATTCTAACTTCCTGGAGGACGAAGATGATACACTCCATCCTCCTCTCTATTCTCTTTCTTACCTTGCCCCAGCCAGAGCTGAATAAATGCTGGTAAAAATGAAAACAATTAAGGTTTCTGGGAGATGGTTCTTTTGTTTAAGTTCATTTATTTTGAGAGAGAGAGAGCATGCGAGCCAGGAAGGGGCAGGGGGAGAGAGAGAGAGAAAGAGGGAGAATCCCAAGCAGGCTCTGAGCTGTCAGCACTGATCCCAATGTGGGGCTCGAACCCATGAACTGTGAGATCGTGACCTGAGCCATCGGTTAACCGACTGAGCTACCCAGACGCGCGACACCTCCCCCCCCCCCCCCCCCCGTTCTTAAGGTCATAAAATGCTGCAGAATTCGTCCTGTGAGAGGCTCCCTTCCCTCAGGCCTGTGGGAGAGGGTGAGGGAGAGGGGCTGGTTCATTACTTACATCTGCAAAAACAGGATTAGCAGATGAAAGGATGTTTTTGTTAAGATGGGACAAGCCACCCTGGGCCTTACCTTCCTCTGCTCTGGAAATCCGGAAAGAACACAGACTTCCTAGCAATTACAGAAACTGACTAAGAAAACCACTTGATTGCTGAGAGCAAAATCAGTCCGCTTCCGAGAGCACTCTGCCACCCTGGCCTATTACAGAACAACAAACTTCATCTTCATTAACATCTTCCACTGCGTCCTCAGAGCCTCATCCCAGGGGAATACTGAATTACACTATAAAGTAATGAATGGAAACTGAAGTCACTTCCGCCAGCCCCGCTGGCTTTTCCTCCTCCTCCGGACTGCCCAGTGCAGAAGGCTGCAGTCTCCCTGGGCACAGTCACACAAAGTTTGGGGAAACACGTTTCCATGCCACTAACTAGACCCCTAAGGTCAGCATCATGCAGAACCAACTCTTCCCTCGGCCCAAAGAGGGACGGGCACTGAACACACTTTGAGGTCATTTACCAGGCATCTAAGCATCTTCGGATACAAGCTTTGTAGAGAAAGAACAAAAACTTGAGGGTGGGGGCTGTCTTTTCACGGTCGAAGCCGCTACTGTCCCTCTAAAAGGTTCCATCTCTCGAAGGGACGAGGCAGAGTGCGGGAAGCCCGGCCCCAAGGTCTTGTCGGCACTAGAGGAAGCTGACCAGGCAGGTTTTGTGACCTGATGTGAATGGGATATGGTCAAATATCCTGCAAACGCCAGCCTTTGGGGGAGGGGCAGGGAGATCCTATAGGAGCCAGGGGAAAGCGAAGTCCATTCTCTGGCGACCATACCATAGCCTGAGACACACACACGTGCCAAAACTGTTTCAAGAAAGGCCATTGTGCACCTGTATGCTTGGTAACTTAGAAGGAAAGCCCTGGAGCTGACCATTCGAGAGACAGAGGCAGAGAATAAGTATGAAACAGATTAGGGGTAAGGAGAAGAGTCCATAATTGGCACCAAACCCTGCTTTGGGCTTTCCCCGTGCCTGCAAACATGGTTGCGAAGTTTCCCCACAGGACAGATTGGTGTCAAGATAAAAAAATAAAATAAAACAGCTTCAAATGGTCCCCGAAATCCGATACTTTTCATGTCAATTTCCAGTCTCAAGCTCCATTATGACTGTTGCAAACCTTTACTCTCTTCAGACCACTTTCCTCCTCTCCCTCTCCTCGCCCCATTCTCAACAGATGACCGACCTTACCTCCTACTTCATCGAGGGGACTGGGGGTGCGGAGAGACCTGGGTTCCGCTTCAGCCAAACTTAACCCCCTCCCTCTCGTCTCAGGGCCCTCCTCGGAGGGGGCAGGTGGCTAAGCTGGAGATCACGACACTCTCTTCCAAATTCTACCAGCAGCGCTTTCCCACCCGCTCGGATCTATTCAGACGGGGCGAGATCTGGGATGGCATTCACCCCCACGTCCCCCGCTGCAGGCTGGTCGGAGCTCCCCAAAGGCCCTTCCCTGCCCCGAACCTTACCCGGATCCGTCCCGGGGGCGCACGACGCGGGAGCTACGTGGCGCCGTCGGCCTCGGTCTCCAGCGGCTTCTCCTCATCCACAGGCGGCTCCAGGTCGTCCTCCTCTCCGCTGCGTGGATAGGCCAGCAGCTGCATGGCCGGAGCGCAGGCCGCCTCCACCTGGCGCACCTGCTCTCGGCTCAGGCGCTCCCTCCAGGCGTGCACGGCCTCGCGGGCGTCGCGCGCCGACAGGTGGAAGGGTCGGTCGGCGCCGTAGGCCGCGCCGCGCGTCATGTTGAGCGCGAAGGCCTCGAGGGCGGCGAGCGCGCGCAGCCCGGAGAAGCGCAGCAGGCGGCGCAGCTGGGTGCGCGGCTGCCGCACCAGGTCCTCGTAGCGCAGCCTCAGGTAGCGGCGCCGCAGCCAGGCGGGCGCCCCGCGCGCGAACAGCAGATCGCGCAGCCAGGCTTCGCAGATGACCTCGAGCGCGCCGGTCAGGAAGAAGTCGGCGCGGGGTGCGGCGGGCAGGGCGCGAGACTGGCCCCCGGGCCGAGCGCCCACGCCGTGCGCCAGCAGCACGCGGTGGAAGCGGTCGCCCCGCTGGCGGGTGCGCAGCACCTGGATGCTCTCGCGCAGCAGCCCCTGCCTGGACTTGAGGCGCGAGTTGTGCACGGCCCGCGGGTCGCGGAAAAGCTGCACCACTTTCAGGTTGAGGCCGGGGTCACGCAACAGAGGCACCAGCACACCCAGATCGAGGAGGCGCACGTCCTTGATGACCACCACCGGATACTTGCGGCACTCGGCCTCCAGCGCGCGGAGAGCAACCGGCGGGCAGCTGCGCTCGCAGGCGGCATCTTCGACGAGGCCGACCTCGGCGCGGGCCCGGGGCGCGCCGGGGCAAAGCGGGGGCGAGCAGATGACCTTGTTGGTCCGCCAGCGGAAGAGGGCGGCCGTGGTGAGATTGGCCGCGCCCGGGGCGCGCGCGGCGGGGTCCCCCGGCGGCGCGTACAGCCGCAGCACCGAGAAGTCGCAGCGGAAGAGGGAGCGCAGCATGTCTCGCAGCGCGCCCTGCAGGCTCTCGGCGTCGCCCGGATACAGCGCCTGCCACAGATGCCACATGGGCTCGTACAAGTAGAAAACGTCCGGGTGCTGGTTAAAGAGCTCGCCCAGGAACGACGAGCCGGTGCGCCAGGTGGCATGCACGTAGATGTGCTGCTTCTCGCGAGACGCCGCCTCCCCGACAGCGCCGCTGAGGTTGCCCGGGGACCCGGGGGACGGGCCCGCGCCCCCTGCGGCAGCCGGCCGCCCCTCGGCGCCCTGCTCGCGCTCGTCCGCCGCCGCCGCCTCCAAGCTCCACACTCCCAGGCTGTGCTGCAGGCCCGGGCAGTGCCCCGCGCCCTTGTCGCCGTCGCGGCCGCCGTCCAGTACGGAGGGGACGAGCAGCAGCACCAGCGTGTACAGCACCAACAGCAGCGCGAACTTGCAGTACTCCCGGCGCCGCCGCCGCCGGCCCTTCATCGTTCACCGAGCCCCCCACCCTCCGAGCGGGTGGGGCGCCCGTCCTCTCCCCTTCCTCAGAAATCCCGTCCCGAGCCCACGCCTCCGGCCTCTTCGGGCCCCTCTGCGCCGAGAGGAGCCGAGCCACCCGCGCCGTGCATCCACAACGGGAAACTTGGGAGGCGGTGGCTGGTGGCGGCGCCGCTGCCGGCTCTCGGCTCAGCCGCTGGAGAGCCGCCTATTGGCTGGTTTGGCAGCCGCCCGCCCCGCCTTCGACCTCGCAGCTTCTCCCCGCCTCCTCACCCGCCCGGGATCGCCCGGGGCTCTGCCAGATTTGGGCGGGGTTGCTGCGGGGTGGGGACGGTGGTTGGGGCGCACCGAGCCAGACCCCACCGTTCCCCAACCCCTCCGTTGGGAAGTCAAGTCCTCATGAATCAAGACTTCAGGCAAGGGAGGGGCTCGTGTGTACAGAATGTACCCAGGGACGGGACGCGGACCCCGCCCGGAGAACTCCACCGAGCCTTCTGATTTATGTCCCCCGCCTGGTCGTCTCTGTCGTAGGCAGACTCGCCTCCATGCCATTTAGAGCGGGGCTCCCGGTCACTATCCACATCCAGCGTCCCCATCGGCCCCTGGGGTGGGTGTTCCTGAGTTCTGGATAGGAAAACTTCTCATCTGGATGGGAAAACTTCTCCACTAGGATAAAGATACGCAATTGCACGGTGCATGGTGGACCGGAGAGGAATTGGAAGCGCTGATGCATTCACGCAGCGCCAAGTCATCGTTAAGGTGTAGCCTTTGGGAAGTGTTGTGTTCCTCAGGGTCTTGCCCGCTGAGGGCTCTGCACATCTTTGGACACCCTGAAGATCCTTTTGCCCGTTTGTAAAACTGCAGATGAGTTTTAGCGCCTCCGTACCTCCTGCCCTTGTGAGATTTGGGGGCCATTTGTTACCACCTCATAACTTAGCCCGTTCTGACGCGGGAGCAAAAGACATTTAGGGAACTACAGTGGGATGACGGTGGATCCCTGTTTAAAAGGACCCATAAGCAGGGATATGTACTCAAGGATGGACGAAAAGGGGACGGGAAGTCCGAGAGGCAGATTAAACTTGAAGTTCCTGAAATCCAAACGAGAACTAAAAAGGAGAATTTTGCTCTGTTTCAACAAGATAGTGAACACCCCCTTGGAGGAAGCTGTTGTAAAGTTAATGGAAAATAGAAAGCAAATCCTCTGTTCTCCAGCCTCATTGATCACAACCTCCACTTTGGTCTCAATTTTTAATATTCGGCTAAGAGACCCCAGACCATTGGCTTAATAGCACTTCTGCCAAAAACCTAAGCTCCCTGACCTTCTGGCTTTTCATTACTCATTTAACAACATCGCGGGTTAAAACCTGCCTTGGGCTTTCTCCAAGCCTGCAAACACTGTTGCAAGAAGTTTCCCCAGAGGACAGATAAAGTCATCATCATCCCCCTCAAATGGTCCTTGAAATCCTATACTTTTCACGTCAATTCCCAGCCTCCCGTTCCATTATGACTATTTCAAACCTGCTCTGCTCTCCTCAGACCCCTGATATCCCTCTTTTTTTTTTCCAGTATGAAACTCTTGACTTTTTCCCTCCATATATGTATATATTTAAATGTTTTAATGTTTTCATTTGTATCTGAGAGAGAGAGACAGCGTGAGCAGGGGAGGGTCAGAGAGAAAGGGAGACACAGAATCTGAAACAGGCTCCAAGCTCTGAGCTAGCTGTCAGCACACAGCCGGGCACGTGGCCCGAACCCACGAACCGCGAGATCATGACCTGAGCCGAAGTCGGACGCTCAACCGACTGAGCCACCCAGGCGCCCCATCCTTCCCTATATTTTTACTCTGCTCTCTTCTCCTCTTTTAAGCAAGTGGATGGCTCTCTGCTCACCTGAAGAGAGGGATGTGGCTGGGCAGAATGCACAACGTCACTGGTATTTTTTTTCCCCAAAAGCCTAAACCCCAGGCGTGGAGGGTGTGGTCGGTTTTTAAAATAGCCACAAAGTTTTCCCCTCCTCTCTCAGCACCCTTTGGCAAAGTGTCTATCCACACTGACTCTGGGATGGCCTGATGACTTGCATTGGCCAATGGGGCAGTAGTAAACATGACACAAGCAGAGGCTTGAAAAATGCTTCCGTGGTGGAGATTGCCTTCTTGCTGCTCTTGGGAGCCCTGAGATCACCAGTTGAAGAAGCCTGGGCTAGCCACGTGGATGCAAAAACAAGCTGTCCCAGCTGAGGCCTCCCCAGACCGGACAGGCTGCCAACTGCCCGACAGGTGAGAGAGGATAGCCTAGCCCCGTGGTTCATAAAACACCTGGGATCTTAGGAAACTGATTCATCAAGGTGATGAATGTAGCCAGAGAACTACATTTCAAATAAGCTCCTGGGTGCTGCTGCTCTGAGGACCACGCTTTGCATCAAAAGATTCTAACACTCTCCAGCCCCAATCGAGTTGACCCAAATCAGAAGAACCACCTAGCTGACCTACAGAATTGTGGGAAATAATAGATGTGTAGTATAAGGTACTGTGTTTGGAGGGTTTGTGGTGCAGCAAGAGCTAGCTGATACAAAGAAGGTGTGAGGGCTTAGACAAAGCATCTTGGAGAAGCAGGGGGAAAGAGCAGCACTCTACTGGCTCTTCCCCCAGGCTGGGGGTGGGTGAAGGGAGAAAGAAGTCTATGGACCCCACAGCAAAAAGCCCCTGAGCACTTCTTCGTGACAGTGAGTCTGGGAAGAGCAGAACTCACAGAGTGGCTGTATGTTCATCTTGACAGATGCTCAGAGGCGCCATCCCAAACCTTCCTGGGCCCCAGACGTAACTCAGAGGCAGCAGGAGGGTCACAGAGACAGTGTTGGTGACATCCCAGGGGCATCTGTGTGGACCCAAACCCAATGATCCAAGCAAGACCCCAGGTCTAAGGTACAATCCTAGGAGTAGAAAAACCCTAGGAATTACCAAGGCAAATTGTCTGCCCGGAAAGCTCAATCAGCAATGAAGTGGTTTTCTGGGGCACCCGGGTGACTCAGTCGGTTGGGTGTCTGACTTCCACTCGGGTCAGGATCTCAGGGTTGATGGGCTCAAGCCCCACGTTGGGCTTGCCAGCTGTCCTCTCAGAGCCTGCTTCGGATCTTCTGGCCCCCTCTCCCCGCCCCTCCCCTGCTGGTGCCCTCTCAAAAATAAACATAAAAAAATGTTTTAAAGAAATAAAGTTGCTTTCTGGGAGGTACCAGCTTCCAGTTATGGAATGAATAAGTCACAGGGATGAAAGGCACAGTGTAGGGAACACGGTCAATGGTATTGTAATAGCGCTGTATGGTGACAAGTGGCAGTTACCCTTGTCATGAGCACAGCATAACGGTCGGAGCTGTCAGTCACTACGTCGTACACCTGAAACGAACGTAACATTGGGTATCGCCTATACTTCAGTTAAAGAAAAGAAAACGCGGTTTTCTGTAAAGTGATTTCTAGCACACCTAATTTAGTAGACCCAATACCTCCCACCTTTTTTCTTTCTGGTACAACAGCATATGCCCCAATCCCTGTTCTCAGTCGCTACCTCTCCTTCCTGTTCTTTCAACCACACGCTCTCAACCAGAGTGTTCTCACCAGCGTGAGAATTAAACATCATCCAATGTCTCCCTCTTTGGGGGAAAAATAAACCCAATCCCATTGATTCACACCCTCCCCCAGTACAGCTGCCGCAGACACATACCGCGCCTTTCTGGGAATCAGGAGGGGCCCTCACCAGGCAGATGAATTGCAGAAATGGGACTGAGCACCTTGAAACAGGTACCCCTTCCTTTGGCCCCAGGCCGAGGTGTACAGCTCAAATTCAAGAGCCTGGCTGGCTTCCCCGCCCGGACTTGCGTCCTTCAGCCCCACCCTTAGCCACACCACCTTCTCACTGGAGTTGTTTGTACTTGTTCTGGAGCTCTCTCTTTCCCCTCCTACTCCTTCCTCAGCACGCTCCAGTCTGGATTCCGGCCCTGCGTTGCTCCGTAAACAGCTCCTTCTAAGCTTCTCGGTGGCTCCCAGGTTATTGAATCCAGAGGTCAATTTCTTTTTCTTTTTTTTTTTAATTTTTTTTAATGTTTTGTTTATTTCTAGGAGAGAGAGAGAGAGAGACATCGTGAGCAGGAGAGGGTCAGAGAGAGAGGGAGTCACAGACTGAAACAGGCTCTGAGCTGGCAGTCAGCACAGAGCCCGACGCGGGGCTCGAACCCACGAACCGTGAGATCATGCCCTAAGCGAAAGTCGGACGCTCAACCGACTAAGCCACCCAGGCGCCCCTAGAGGTCAATTTCATGTCCCATCTTGGTTCGCCCTCCAATAGCCTTTAACCCTTGACAGCTCCCGCGTCCAGATTGTCTTCTTTCCGTTCCTGGGACATCACCCTTGCGCACTTCTCCTCTCAGTGCATAGCTACACCTTCCGAGCAAAGCGTTCGGGAGACCAGGCTCTGTAAAACAGTGATGTTGCTACTAGAAGGGTTATTGCCGGATCATTGGAAGAATTACATTTTCCAAGGATGGATGGATGGATGGATGGATGGATGGATGGATGGATGGATAGATAGATAGATAGATAGATAGATAGATAGATAGATAGATAGATAGATAGAAAGATACAACAGCAGTGCATGAGAGGAAGCAAACTTCAAGTAGGGGCTCCTGTCTTTGCCGTCGCTGTTGTGGGGAGCTCATCCTCCTCCATCTGGTCATTCGATGTTAGGATACTTGACTTCTTTCAGCTTCAGGGGCGCCCGGGTGGCTCAGTCCGTTAAGCATCCAACTCTTGGTTTCCGCCCACGTCATGGCTCAGGGTTAGTGGGTTCGAGCCTCACCTTGGTCTCTGTGCTGCCAGCCTGGAGCCTGCTCGGGATTCTCTCTCTCCCCCTATCTCTGCCTCTCTCCTTCTCATGTGCTCTCTCTCTCTCTCTCTCTCAAAACAAATAAACTGTAAAAATTTTTTTAAAAAAGAATTCTTTCAGCCTCAGCCCTAGGCCCTTTCCCTTCTCACTCTGTGGTGTCTTCAATAAGCCCAGATTGACATTTCCTGCCCAGACTTCTCCTTGGAGCTCCGAACCTAGAAGTCCAGCTGCCTCCTTGACATTCTTTCTTGGGTCGCCTCAAGGGCATTTCAATGTTAATGTGTGAATGGGGGGAATC